GGGCAGCGTTCTCCTGCAAGGCAGGCGAGTTCCTTTGTGGGATGGGCAGGATGGGGGATCCTCCTGCTGGGAGCACCCRGGAAGGTGGAGCTGAGGATGGTGAGGCTGAAGCACCCCCGGGGGGGCTGGGGGGCATTCCCTGCGATCCCGGTTTCCGTGGGCAGCGTTCTCCTGCAAGGCAGGCGAGTTCCTGGAGATGCAGGCGCAGTCGTGCCGCCCCTGCGCCGCTGGCACCTACTCGCTGGGCACCGGTGTCCGCTTCGACGAGTGGGACGAGGTGCCCCGCGGGTTCGCCAACGTGGCCACCAACCTGGAGCTGCAGGAGGGGCCCGGGAACACCGCTGGGAACTGCAGCGGGTGAGGAACCGCAGGGGCAACTGGGAGCGGAAACCGGGAAACCAGGATATGGGATGGGAAACCGGGATGGGAAACCCGGATGGGGAAAACAGGGTGGGACACTGGGATGGGAAACCAAGATACGGGATGGGAAACTGGGAGGGGGCACTAGGATGGGGCAACAGGATGGGAAACTGGGATGGGAAACCAGGAGGGGGCACTAGGATGGGATACTGGGATGTGGCACCAGGATGAGACACCCAGATGGGGCACTGGGATGGGAAACCAGGATATGGAATGTGGCACTGGGATGGGCACTGGGATGGGAAACCAGGCACTGGGATGGGGCAACAGGAGGAAACCAGGAGGGGGCACCAGGATGTGACAGTGGGACGTGGCTTCAGGATGTGACACTGGGATGGCGCACTGGGGTGCGAAACCAGGATGTGGCACTAGGATGTGGCACCCACGGGAGTCCCCACAGCACTCAAGGGGGTCCTCCTGGTTGCACCAACAGCCTCTGAACCCTTCCAGTTGTCCCAACACCTACCAACCCCTCTCAGTTCCACCAACAACCCCCAAACCTCCCAGATGTAACAACCCCCAAACACTCCAGTTGTACCAACAACCCCTAACCCCTCTGGTTGTACCAACACCCACCAAACACTCTGGTTGTCCCAACAACTCCCAACCCCTCCCAGTTGTACCAACAAC